TGGCTAGAATTAACTGCAGCATCCTCCGCCCTCCTATAGTCTCTTACCCACTAGCTCTGCGAGGTGGCCCTATGGGTGAGATTCTAACTGCTCTTAGATAGAGGCTGGTTGAATATATGTTTCTGCTGGTTGCGTAGAGAATGTAACAAAAATTGGAAAATAGTTGAATTTATGGATGTCTTGTGAGGACTTAAGGCCCCTCAATCTTCTGATTACTGAAGCATCTCTGCCTTGCTACTCATCTTAAAGAAAATACTCTCAAATTTCACTATTAAGTATATTATATGTGATAAGGCCTTATTTTTATAGACCTTTTTTGTTCAGAAGTCTTCTTGTATTTTTAGCTTCTAAGACTCTTGTTAGTAATAAATTTAGAATTCGATCAAATGCTTTTGTTGCATTTCATCAGATAATTGTAAAGTTCTAATCTGTTAAAATGTAAAATTATACGAATAGATTTTCTAACATTAAAGCAAACTTTCATTCTTGGCATAGACATCAATCATGATGTAGCATCTTTTTTTTATATTGCTGGCTTTCGTTTGTAAAAGTTTGTTTAGGATATTTGCATCTATGTTTATGAGCGAGAACGTTCACGCATTTTCCTTTTTAAAGTCATCACTGTGGGCTTTAGTATTGAGGCTATTCTACACCAAACAATAAATTTTAAGTAGAGATTATGAAATATAAGCGTGTTCTCCCTGTTCACACCTTGCACTACAGAGACTCCATGTTAGATGATTTTGGATGTGAGATTTGACTGTGTATCCCGGGGTTACCGTCATTATTCCTCAAACAGTCTTGGGGTGGGGGTGGGGGAGGGTGGATGGGAAAAGGTAACTAATAAAGAACACATCACAGACATCTCACTAACTTTGACAAAGAGGACTATCCTCTGTATCAACACCAGGGAATAAAAAATATTTTATAAATTGGAAGGCAAGAAATCTTTTGTGGAAAAAGCGAATTTGCAACAGATGTAGTAGAAGTTAAATTCTTTCTAAATTTAGAAAACTGTTTCCAATTTTTTTCTAAAGTATGAGAATAATAATGGTAACAATAAACATTTATTGAGCATTTAAATGGACTATATACTAATTACATTTGCCATTTAAAATAAAATGTTGTCTGGCAGCAAACACATGGTCACCCAGAGCCTTTCTTCTGTAGGCATTTGATTTCAGGTCATTTATTTACGAATAATAATTTGAGTAAATGTTATGGCACTGTATGCTATGGGCTGCCAGTTTCTTCTCCACCACTGGGAACAGGATCATTAATGCCTTCAAATATAATTCTGCCGATACCCAACTGCAGGAAACCCAGACCATATACATAGAACTCACCTTAAGATTTAGTTCTTCTGGTCTTTTTGTCATTGTATGATGTCCGTCTTCATTTGTTAAAGTACTATTTGTCTTGAGTTTTACGTTATCTTATATATATATACATATATGCATGCACAATAGCTTTCTTATGCTTATTATTTGCATAATATATCTTTTCCCACTCTTTTATTTCCTTCAAACTATCTGTGTCATTATGCTTCATATGTGTTCTCCAAGAGGCAGCATGTAGTTGAGATTTGCCTTTTAATACTGTCTGACAACTTCTGTTAATTGGAGAGTTCAATCTATTTACATCTTATGTCTTTTTTTATATATATATTTGAGTTTTATTCTATTATCCTAATATTTATTTCTTATTTGTTCCCTTTGGATTTTATTTCTCTGTTGTTCATGTTGGCTTATGTTTTTTTTGTTAAAATAATACATATAGTCTAATTTTTCTTCTTTGGCTTCTTAACCATGGAGAGATATGATATGTATGTGGCTTAATTGACTGGATATTATTAAGATGTCCAATCCTTCAATGTTACCAAGAAAATATAGCAATCTTAAATATGTATGCAGCTAATGGCAGAGCATCTAAATTCATAAATCATAAATGACATAACAATAAGGTGGAATGAGCAAACTCACAGTTCTATCAGATATTTCAGTACCTCTCCCCATAACTATTTTATAGATTCAATTTCATACCAATAAAAGCCACAGAGATTTTTTTTCCTAGAAATTGAAAGTCATATGAAAATAAAGATATAGAATGTCTAAAACAATTTTGAGGACTACAAAATTGAAGACATACACAACCTGGCTTTAATACTTACTTTGGAGTTGCAGTTTAGACAATAAGGCATTGACCTAAATATAGATATAGAAATTAATGGATTAGAATAGTGTCCAGAAATAGAAACACATATATGGTTGAATGGTTTTTGACAAAAGAACAAACATCATTTACTAGAGAAAGAACAGTCTTTTCAAGAAATGCTGCTGGAATTACTGAATATCCAAATAACTTCTACCAATAATAAAAAATCTCGATCTCTCCATCACAACATATTTAAAGTTAATATGAAAAGAATCATAGACCTATAAGAACTAAAATTATAAAAACTCTAGAAGAAGCACAGAAAAAATAATTGTGACACAACAAATTTATAAGTTGGTCTTCATCAAAATTTAAACCTTCTACTCTTCAAAAAATACTCTCAAAAAAAATGAAAAGTCCAATATTCATAACACATATTTCTAAAGGACAGTCAATTCAATAATAAGAAAAGTGTAAACTTCATTAAAAATGGGCTAAATGTGCAAAGTGGATACATTAAAGACCAATGATAACGTAAACAGATTCTCAACATCATTATTCCTAAATTAAAAACGAAATACTACTACACGCTATCTAAGATGGTTAAAATAAAAAGAAATGACAGTGTCAAGTGTTGAATAGGACTTGAAGCAACTGGAACATTTATAGATTGCTGGTGGGAGTACAAAATGGTGCAATTACTTTAGAAGACAGTTTGTAGTTTCTTGTATAGTTAAACATACACTTCCCATATGATCCAGCAATTCTACTTCTAGGTATTTACCAAAAAAAAAAAAAAAAAAAAAAACATATGTCTATGCAAAGAATTGTATATAATGCTCATATCAATACTTTTAATAACAGCCCTAAACTGAACACAAGTCCAAAAGTCTATCAACAGGCACGTGGATAAAATAATTGTGGTATATTAATACAATGGAATACACTTCAGCAATAATAAAGAATGAACTGCTAATATACCTAACAAATGCTACGGACACTGAGCTGAGAGGAAGCAGCTTGTCACAGAAGAGTATGTAGTGTATGATGCTATTTAGATGAGATTTTTTAGACCAAGGGAATTATTCTGTAGTGATAGAATGGGTATCAGTGATCGCCCAGGGCAGAAGGTAAATATGGGAAGAAGTGGACTGCAAAAGGGCTCAAATAAAATTGCTGAGGTGTAAGAAATATTCCATACCTCGATTATGGAGGTGGTTACGAGTGTGGATACATTTATCATGTCTGTAACCTGAATAAAAAGCAATCTAATTATGGGCAGTGAACACACAATGCAATATATATGAACATATGCCTTATGGCTAAATTGTGCACCTGAAACTTACTGGATTTTATTAAGCAAGGTCACCATGAATAAATAGATAAATGAACAGATAAATAAATAAATGACTAAATAAATAAATACAAAGATAATCCTGATTTTTACCTAAAAAAGCATGAAATTTTCAAATATAAATTGTTAGATAAAAAAGCTGATTGTAAAAATGACCAAAAATCATTTATTGGAAAAATTGTTTCTGTAAAATGTTTTTAGTAAAAATAAGTAAAAATAAACAATATAGCTTTCAAATTTTAGACATAGGTTTTAAAGAAAAAGACTATTTCTATTTCCATTTCTATTTCACAAAAAGGTCAAATGTCATCAGGATATTAGAAGGGCATAAACTTCTTTTTAGCATAAACATAATCATTATTTAAAGTTTCTTTCCTTCTGCACATTTCACTATGGGGATTTAAGCTTAAGGGCTTTGGGTATTTGAAATTATTAAGCTACTTTCCTGAGGGGACAGAGTGTTTGGGGTGTAATTCTAGATCTGACAAATTAGGAAAAGAAAGCTAATAAAATATGGCATTCTTACATGCAGCATATAACAGCTCTTGGAAGACTAATGCTTCTCAGATACGTACTAGCTAATGCAAAAAAAGATTTTGTTTTTAAGTTTAAACAAACAGAATTTTGGGTAATGATAAAAACTAACTACTTATTCGGTTGGAAGTAGATTTTATAAGATAAAGATATGAATCAGTTTCTAACCATGAAAATAAGGATTTGTACTTACAAAGAATTAGGGACAGAATGTACTGGCAATTACTGACATATAGTAAATACCCCCTTCTTAAAGTCTTTTGAAAACTGTGATGACGTATTTGGCCACAGAAAATAATAGCTTTTCCAGGTGTCAAAACAGAGAATCATGGGCAGTGATTTGCCCCCTCCTGCAGCTGCTGAGCTCTGCTTCGAGAACCTGAATGGATCCTGTGTCAAAATTTCCTACTCGCCTGGGATTCGCCTGATTTTGTATATAGTGTTCTGCTTTGGATCTTGGCTGGCTGTATTTGGAAACCTCTTGGTGATTATTTCAATTCTTCATTTCAAGCAGCTGCACTCTCCAACCAACATTCTCATCTCCTCCCTGGCCTGTGCTGACTTCCTGGTGGGCGTCACGGTGATGCCCTTCAGCATGGTCAGGTCCGTCGAGAGCTGCTCGTACTTCGGGCAGAGCTTCTGTACTTTTCACTCGTACTGTGATGTGGCTTTTTGTTTCTCCTCTCTCTTCCACTTGTGCTTCATCTCCATCGACAGGTACATTGCTGTTACTGACCCTCTGCTCTATCCTACCAAGTTCACGGTGTCTGTGTCAGGAATTTGCATCAGCGTCTCCTCGATCCTGCACGTTGCTTACCCCTCAGTGTTCTGCTTTGGATCTTGGCTGGCTGTATTTGGAAACCTCTTGGTGATGATTTCGATTCTTCATTTCAAGCAGCTGCACTCTCCAACCAACCTTTTGATGGCCTCCCTGGCCTGTGCTGACTTCTTGGTGGGAGTGACTGTGATGCCCTTTAGTGCAGTGAGGTCCGTGGAAGGCTGCTGGTACTTTGGGGAGAGTTACTGTAAATTTCACACTTGTTTCGATGGGTCATTCTGCTATGCTTCCATCTTCCACTTATGTTTCATTTCTCTGGATAGATATATTGCAGTCAGCGACCCTCTGCTCTATCCAACCAGATTCACCATATCTGTTTCTGGCATATGTGTTGCCTTCTCCTGGCTCTTTTCCATTGTTTATTCTTTCACCCTTCTTAGCACAGGTGCAAATGAAGTTGGGCTGGAGGAACTAGTCAGTGCTCTCACCTGTGTGGGAGGCTGTCAAGGTGCAGTGAATCAAAGTTGGGTATTGGTAAATTTTCTATTATTTTTCATACCCTCGCTTGTGATGATCATTGTTTACTCCAAGATTTTCCTCATCGCTAAACAACAGGCTAGAAAAATGGAAAGTATGAGCAATAAAACTGTGGGATCATCAGATAGCTACAAAGACAGAGTGGCCAGGAGGGAGAGAAAAGCAGCAAGAACACTGGGCATCACAGTGATAGCGTTTTTGGTTTCATGGTTGCCATACATCATTGATTCAATAATTGATGCCTTCCTAGGTTTCATCACACCCACATATATTTTTGAAATATTAGCTTGGATTGCTTACTATAACTCAGCAATGAACCCCTTGATTTATGCTTTATTTTATCCTTGGTTTCGAAAAGCCATGAAGCTAATCATCACTGGTCAAGTCTTAAGAGAAAATTCCTCAACGATAAATTTATTTTCTGAGTAGGTTCTGGTTTTACACTGGGGGGACATTGAAAATAGATTCTCAATGGAGTCTCAATGGGGAAAATTGATCATAAATGTGAAAGATCTTTTTAGGTAAAATAATTAAATTATGCTTCAATTTTGACCCAAACACTTAAAATCAGGTACAATGTTCTGTGGTAAATATAACATTAAAATCTTATTGTAATGGAACGCATCCTTGGAGCCGGAAACGCCTGGATTGCAATACCATCTCTGACATTTAACACTGTTGTGATCTTAGGTTGCTTTGTTCTCTCTGGTCCTCATTATATTTCTCTGGTTAATAACTCCTCTCTTGCAGTAGTCTTGAGAAAATGTAAAAGAATATATAAAGCATCTGGTATATACTCATCATCTAAATCCTGCCTTTATTACTTTATATCAGTTCAACCCATGGCTATATCTTCTATCAGCTGCTTTGTAATATTTTTCTATTAAAATGTAAATGCAACTAAGATATATATTTAGAGAGGTGGTAGCACCTCGCACAGAGAGGATAAAGGAGTAAGGATGTACTGTCTGGTGTTCAGAATTGCAGATCCAAAACTGTGATTTCAGAGTCAGGGAAAACCAGTCAAGAGATAGAGCTATTAACTGTAAATTCAATTTAGTTATTTGGGAATAACTATAATATCAATTTACAATGGGAAAGTTAACTAGCATACATTCAGTGAGCTTCTTACTGTTAAGTGTAAAATTACATTAGAGTTCAGAAGTTGTACCAGTTAATATACATTTAAGCCAGGAATTTCAGATAGTTATCATTTTGTTATGTTACTTTATTTTGAAATTAATTTATTCTTTATTGACTTAATTTGCACCTTGTTTCAAAAATTATGGACAGGGACTTCAAGGATACACAAAAAGCAGAGTTTAAAATTGTATTCGAAAAAAGAAAGAAAAATAAAATGGAGGGAATAAAATGAAGCCAAGACAAAGGCTAGCGAATGTTGTAGGACCCACAAACTTGGTTCCAAAGCACAAAGAGAAACAATTTGTTATGTAATCAATAGTGGATAAACTGAGTCAGTTATTTCAGAGAATTGTTCTTGATAGTCAAACTGGAGGGTGCTGTATGTCTCATGAACAATAAATGACTTGATTCTATTCTCTTAGCTATTTCACAAGAAGACATCAAGATTTTAAAAGTCCAGTTATATTTTGGGGCAGGAGTAAATATATAGCAAACATTTCTTGCTTGCTTCTTTAATTTCTAACTGATATAAATCAACATTATCTATTAGCACATAATTTCTATCACACAAATGCTTTGAATGGGTAAACCTTTTCTAAGAGTGTATTCTTTCTGATTATGCCATTCTTGTGAGAAATTGTTGTCTTTACTTGATTTTACAGATGATTAAAGCCACCCTAGACGGCTTACTGTTACTGTACCCACAATTCTTCAGTTCCAACAGTGAATATCATCGACTTATTTTGATTCTAGAGGTTTCACTATAGTAACGTTTTCTAATCCTCTTTTGCAAGCTACAGAATAATCCTACTGCCTTATTTTAAAGATAAAGAAGCTAAATCAAAGTGTGTAAGAATTCTGATGAATATTATAAAACTTCAGGATTCAAACCGGTACTTTTTGTTTGATGCTAGTTTTATATATTTATACTTGTCTTTCCTTTCTAAGTAGCTTTTCTAGTATATTAGACAAATCATCTGATTTTACCACTTCCATTCCTAGATCAACAGACTAACCTGTCTAGTTTTATAAGTGTTTGAAACTCTCATTGTAAAACATACAAGCTATGTCCTCATTATTCTTTTCTGTGAACTAGTCTGGTTGTGTGGAGACTAGTCTACAGGCCTTTGCTTCAATGAACCTTTATTGAGTGTTTTTGGTATGTAATATATGAGCTCCAGAACCAGAAGTATCTAACAAGAAAAACAATTTCAACCTAATCATTATTTATCTATGTTTATGGGACACTCATTCTGTGCTTGGAACTGCCTTGCCTGCACTTAATCTTCACAACAAACCTAGGAGCAAGGGAATGTTATTACTTCCCTTTTAAAATGAGGAACCTGAGGCATAAAGAGGTAAGTCGCAAGCCCAAGGTGGCATACTTGTTTAACAACAGAACCAGTATAAACACCCGAGGGCCAGAGAGTAAGTGTCATATCAATGAAAGATTTTCCCCTCACAAAAGAGAATTTCCTCTGGAAAGAGCCCCCCCTCTACTGTAGGACATTGGTAGCTGATGGAAAGAGCCCCCTCTCTAACTGTAGGACATTGGTAGCTGAATTCAGAGGCTAAAAAAATTTCCCATATAAAATATGTTATTTTTTTTTCATATTCCCCTTGCCACTCGGTCATTGGACTGTGATGAAGGACTCACAAAATATTAGAACTGAAAGAAACCTTTTAAATATTCTAAGCCATGCTTTTTTAGGTACAAGCTATGGCTTAAATACCCTGAGCAAGGTCAGACAACCAGAGTCTCATGAATTCATGTACAGGGCTAGCCACACTGCAGTGGTGTCCATCTGTCCACAGGGCCTGGATGGGTCCATCCTCATCTCCTCCAATATCTGGTCACAGCGCAATCTCTCCTTTCTGAGGATTTTGCCCCAACTCTTCTCCATTAGACCTGGTTTACCTGGACCTATGGATTTATGGCCATCTATTTTACATATACATATTTCTCAATTAGCTTTCAGGGGTTTTATGGGATTTCAAATATAGTGATAATTTTAACTAGAATTACGATTCTGGTTTAAAAAAAAAATCCCTCAGAACTTTAAAAGCATTTCTCCAATGGCTTCTAAGACCTAGTATTGATAAGAAGTGTGATGCTAGCATGATGTTCATTCCTTTGTCATTACTCCCTCTGGCCCCTGTCCTAAAGCTTTTTAAGATTTTCTCTTTATACTTGTCTGATTGTGTTCCCTGTATATTTTTTGTTTGTCCTCTTTGCACTTAGTGGATACTTTTAATTGGAAGCCTTAGATCTTTCTTTAACCCAGAAGGAACTTTCTGAACAATTGCTTTTGTTTTCTTCCTTTTACTCTCTGATTGCTCTTTCTGGGATTTAGAATTTCTCTCAAGCTCTATTCATGAGAATAGCTCTTACAGCTCTAATAACCTCCATTGTGTGTATTTTGGGCTGCATTTTTCTTTACTCTGTTTTTTTAGTCAATTTATTCCCATGTCACTTTTTTTTTTTTTCAGATATGCTTTTGAAGTCATTTCAATGGGACTTCAGATAAGATAAATAAAACTATGTGCTCAGGTATGTTAACAGGGCTGATCTTCAGATGTAGGTACCAATTCAATCATTCCAACTGGGAAAGTGTTGAAGTGCTTAAATAGTAGTTGGGAAATATTTATTACCCTGATCTCCCAGGCAGCCCCTTGTGACCTTATCTCTTGCTTCTCTTCCCCAAACTCCAAAGATTCCTCATGATCAATTCAACTGAAACATGAATGCAAGGCAAAGGCGGTAACTTGCAGGGCGTGCTCTGTCTCTCAGAAAAGCGTCCATTCTGATTGGTCATTGCCTACATTTTGCCACATTGTTTTTTGTTTTGTTTTGTTTTGTTTTAGTGCTTTGAAATATCAACCCTTAACATAACTCGGAAATAAAGTGTTCGTTTTTTGATTTGAAATTACTATCAAATTCGTTTTTGGTCATGAAAGCTTAATTAGAGGTAACTTATGAATGTATTCAAAACTACTAAATAATTATTTATTATTTATTTCCTAAGGTATGAAGGAGATTGCTCAAAGTATATGGTTAAATGGTGGGAATTATTCCTCAAGAATTTCAGAAAAAGCATGAAAAATGAGACTAGTTATCACATTGGCTTGCCCTTGGGAATAATTGGCACTCTTGCCCATTGAATATGCCACTAATTTTTGAACAGTCTGCACTAGTGTTTGACAAATGAAAAATGGCTTCACTACGTTATGTACTAGTGCATGCAGACTTGCTCTCCTGACTCTCCTGGTCCAATTTTTTAAAACACCGTGAGCAGATTGCATAGCTTTCCACAAAGTTTCTGGAATTGAAAATCTCTTATAAAAGTGAATTCTAACTCAGATGAAAACTTTATAGTTATACCCAGTTTAGCACTTTTATCTTTCCTATTCCAGTCAAAGCTATCCAAGCCTAGGTTTTAGGGTAGGGTCCTACAGTGGGGTGGGAGATAAGTCTGCTTTTACAGTTCTTTTCCCTCTATAATAGAACAGAAATGGAATATGGAGAATATTAATAGTGGGACAAAAGATTTCTTATGCCTGGTGGTATCATATTCGATTTTGCACAATGCCCTGAATGTGGCAGGCACCGAAATATAGGTGCTGTTAAGAGTTACATGTGTGAGTCTCATGGGTGACTCATTTTGGGAGAGCCTGCCCACTGCCTAGTTCTCTAATGTTGCTGAGCCATTGCAGTTGACCTCTTTCAAACTCTCTTTAGAGTCTATGAATAGAAAACTTACAGGCTTTTGCTCCTGGAGTCCCATTGTCCAGGGAACTACTCCATTTATGATGGTATTGTGAGACAATTCAAGCTTGAGTCCCTCTTTAAATTTGCTTATTCAATAGTCTTGCAGACTTGCCCTGTGTTTATGTTGAGCAGAGGCAAGTAGAATTGGGGAGAGATGGCTGGGAGGAGAATTGGGCCAGCAGGGGGAGAAGCCTATGCTGTCACTATTTCAAGTGCAAAGAGTCATTAGTTTCATGTGGGCTAATACACACATGGAAGCCAGTCAGGCTTGGCCTTTCTGGCTGGCCTTCCATTTTAGAGTACACAAAATGTCTGTGACACATTGCATAGGATTTGAGGAAGATGTTGAAAAAGTCAATACAGTGCTGATCACTAGATTAGAAACTGGGTACGAAAATGCCTCCTGCAGAGATGCCTGCAGAAACCAAATAAGCGCTGCATGACAGGGTCATTATTGGAAGGCTCACTACACAGATGATGTAGGCATGATCGCCAAGTGAAGGTTGCAAGGAGATCA